AAACACTGGGTACGGGTATACCCGATATCCGACGGGGACGGGGATGAAAATCACATACCCGACGGGTACGGGGACGGGGACGGGGATGGATTTGACTTGCGGGGACGGGGACGGGTATCATAAAACCCATACCGCCCCGCCCCGTTGCCATCCCTAAAAGTAACAGTTCTATGACTATAAGCATTTGTAAAATTTAATAAAAAAAATAACTTTTAAATATGTTTTTGTCATTTTAATATATCTGTTTTCTAACTGCAATATGAATAAAATTATTTTTAAAATTATCCCTTATAAAATTTATATATTTAATTTTAGTCCTTGATATTTTTTTGTTTTTATAATATATTCAATATTTTGTTTTAGCCCCTATAAAATTTTACTTATCTTAAAAGAAATAATAGAGTGTAAAAAAATATTCACATATTAAAAAAATAAAAATAAAGATACTTTAAAAACTAAATTAAAATAATGTGCCCCAAAATAAAAATAAAATAAAATAAAAGAGAGAAAAATGATACCATAAACATGTTAAATAATAACTTTATAAAGATACAAATCAAAAAGTATTATATTATTGTTTGGGGAGGGAGAAGAATGGAAAGAATGGAAAATAATAAGTGAAAATTAATTTAATATGAAATGGTGTAGAATTCGTAGTTATTGGTAGAGTAGAATTAGGTGAAAATTAGAGATAAATTAATATTTTAAAATTATATTTTATATAATTATATTTTTATATAAAAAATATATATTATTTAAAAATTACATTTTTAGTCTTTACCAATTAATTATTTTTGAAAATAATATAAAGTTAATTTTGCCCAATCATTTTTTTGAAAAAAAATTCCATACAAGTCCACTCATAAAGAGAGTGAAATTAAATTTACTTGAGCCCTACCATAAATTTTTCACAAATTCACTTAAATCATCTCCTTCAAACATACATGATTTTTTAATTCTTTCATAATCTTTCCCTTTTTTCTCCATTCTCTATTAAACCACTCCCCCAAACACACATAACGAAATTATATGAAATGATAGTATTTTAGTTTTTAAAAAATAAAGAATTTAACTTAATATTCTAAAAAATAGAGAGACTAAGATGAATAATGTAAATTGAATAATAATTCACAAAATAATTTATACACGTATATAATCTTAAATAAATGACTTTACTTATTTTAAAATATTTTTTAATTAAAATCATAAAAATAAGTGAAATTCTTAAAAAAATGTCTTTTAAAATCAATTTTGAATTGGTTCGAGCTATTCTTACTGGGTTTTTTTTTATAAAAAAAATACATAATATTACTTGGAAAATCCTCTCCATTAAACTAGCTTTTTGTACTGCTCTAATTTCAGTTTACTTTTAACAGATGATTACTCTGAGCCATGAAGAATAGAGACTTGCATACATCGCTTGTTTGGGATATTTAAATATAGGCTTAAATAAATAATTAAATATACATGTTCTCTTCAAAATGTAATTATTTTGTTTTAATCCCCATAAAAATAGTTTTTAACGTTTAAAAATTGCAAAAGTCATTTACTTTAAAAACTTTAAAATTGTAAAGACTCGTTGAAAAAACTGAAAAAATGTTGCTTCATACCAACCAAATTTTGTCAAAATTACACGCATGTATCTTGGAATCTTACTTCACTTTTGTCCACCAATGAGAATAACACGTCTTTTTTGTCTTTACAATTTTTTTTCCATCATCTTTTTGTCTCAATGAAAGCAACATGCTGTATGTATATAATGCAAACGCAAAAAATAATTAAGGGTTGAAATTCAATTTCAATTTAAATTAACAATATAGACGAATGTTGTTAACTATCAACAAGTTAACAAAAGGACCAATTAAAACAATAGTAAAAGTTTAAGCGTTAATTAAGACAAATAAAAGTTAATTTCAAAATTGTAAAAGTTTAAGGTGATTATATCTTCTTGTCTCAAATATGTTTTTTTTTTTTCTCTAATAATTGTATATTTAATGAATTCAACCAAATCTTATATGGACCAACCACAGTTTTGTCAGTTGAACCAAATATGTCGTGGGTCTGATTCGACAGGCCCATCTTGGGAATAACGGGCCCAACCTGCAGGCCCAGGATTCTAATTTGGCCCGTTAGCGTAGATACAAAAGTGAGTTTGAGAAGTAAAAATAAAAATCAAAACAAAACCCTAATTTGTAGAGAGAAAGGGAGCGACTAAGAAGAACGATGTCTGGTGCTACTCCGAATACGCAAGCCGAGGAAGATAAGAAACCGAATGATCAATCCACTTCCGCCCACATCAATTTGAAGGTCAAAGGCCAGGTTTTCTTCTTTTTCTCTATTTTCTCTTATTGATTTCATACTCTATGCTTAGGGGAAAAAAAACTGTTTTCAGGTGATTTTCTTTTTTTTTGTGTGTGAATTTTTGGTTGCTAGGTATCCCTTCACACTCGCAAAGTGAAAGGAGAGTGAGCAACAATTGTATGTCGCACTTTCTTTTCTTTAGGTTAAAAGTATTTTGTCCTTTTATTTATTTATTTTCAACTTTTTATTATTTATAATTGTGGCCTTTATACACGGGTGTCCCTCATTTGCTCATTAGATTATATTTTGTTACTTTTCATTTCTCAGTATTTTTGCTGCCAAAGTTAAAATGATTAATGGGTTTGATCCTTTGTGTATTCCTGTGTATGTGTGGTGGTTACAATAATTTTTGGTAACCGAAACTGAAGAAGGGTCCATAAATAATTAAATTGTAAAAGGAGTGTATGATTAATATATTATCTTAATCACGTCTTTAGAGTACTGGTGTTCTGGATGGCGGCAATACTCTATTGCCTTGTTCTTGAGTTTCATATTATATTGTTGCGCTGATGGAAACATTGACCTTTCAAGATATGCTAAATTTCAGTTTACAATGTAAATTTATATTTTTTAAAAATAACCATGTTTGTTGTAGCAGTATGTATCATCTTCTAATATATTAATAGGAAATTCGGGTTATCCATCTTATCTTTTCATTAGGTTAATCACATTTTCTAAAAATATTGTAATTTGAGATACCTTGGAACGTTCCTTGCGCCCTTCTCTGCCGTTACACACCCCAACTCCCAAAAAAATATGTTTTTTTCATTGATTGTTTCTGTTATATTACTTGGAACTTTTCTTGTTTTTCTTCGATTATTTTTTGGTTGAATCCCAGTTAATTTGTGTGCCTAAAGTCATTAGAGAACATTTCAAGATTGTCATCGAGTTAAAGTTCCTTTAGAGGCACCCTTTCAAACTATCCTTGATGTTACTCAACCTTATAAATTCAATGTTGTGTATGGCAAGTTTGTAACATGGTTTCTATCTGATGATATTTGAGCAGTACCGAAAATTAGATGGGTTATTCATTAACTTTTTGTTCGGTGATGTTTCTTTATGTAACATGATGATGAGTGTATGATCTGTTCAAGGTTATATTTTGTCATGGACTAGATTATTTGTATTTTTAAATATCAATGAGCACATGATCTATGACTAACGTTTATTTGATTGTAGGATGGAAATGAAGTATTCTTTAGGATCAAAAGAAACACTCAACTGAAGAAGCTGATGAATGCATACTGTGATCGACAATCTGTGGACTTTAATTCAATTGCCTTTTTATTTGATGGTCGACGTCTCCGGGCAGAACAAACTCCTGATGAGGTTTGCCCCTTACCTTGAATGTTTCTTGATATTGGGAACTATGGGTATGTTTGAATAAATTTTATTTGAAGTACATGTTGAATAAAATAATAAGAAAAAAAGAAATTAATTTTTTTTATAAGTTAAAATTAGTTTATATATAAATTAATATGTAAAAGCTTTCTTGTATTATTTTTTTCAATAACTTATGCATAAATAAATTTTAGTTTAGTTTAAGGAAAAAAAATAATTATTTTTGTTTATTTTCCTACGAGTATTTTCAGAAAAGATTATTCAAACCAACCTTATATCTACCTGTGTGTCATAACCCTACATGTTTTGTGTTCATTTCTTCAGCTAGAAATGGAGGATGGGGATGAGATTGATGCGATGTTGCACCAAACTGGTGGAGTCCTGTTAACCTAGTATGTTTATGCTGGTTGTTATTGTGAATTATATAGGTTAGTTGCTTTGGTTTATGTAACCTTTGGATTTACATCGTCGGTATTGAGAGACAGACATACTCATTGTAGAACCTTGTTTGAAAAATGACATGCTTTTAGGAGCCTTGTGAGTTATGACAGCTGGAATGAAGTCTGGAATCTTATGTTGATAATTTGATCAGAGTTTAGTATGCGCACCTAAGATAAGAATTGCTTGTGAATGAATTGCACGTATTTGTTTTGCTTAAGTTTTTTAGAATGAGTTTGTCTTATAAAAAAAAAAACTGATGGTGTTTTTATATTTGATTTAATTTAAAAAATATATTGTGATATTAACACACTTTAGTTCCAAATTAATACTCTTTAAGTTCACGTTATAGGAGCTATGTTCTAAGCGTGCAATTTTGTTGTAGAAATGGAAAAGGAGAATACCTATTTATTTAAAATTGAAATTCTAAATCGATAATGAACGTTATAAAAGGTTACTCCGTCTTTGTTTATAGATTACTTGCTATTATTGGGCATGCATTTTGTTTCTTTAATTAATTAAAATTGAAATTCTACATTGAAAATTGATACAGATTATCGAGACCAGCGCTAAAGAGACACTTGAAAAAGGAAAAGAGGTGCCTATGTTGCGAACAAAACCGATTTCAGTATTGCGTAGTTTTTTTTAAAACAGAGGGAATTAAGGGGTTAAGAAGTGTGTGCATTGAAGATTTTTATTTTTTATTTATCACTTACTAATATGTATTTTGCTTATAAAAAAAGTTAAATAGAAATAATACAGGTTAAATAAGAGGTATAAGCAATCCAATCATCCATTCCGATTGAAAGGTTTTTTAGGAGTGGGTGCGTGGACTCTAGTTGAGGAGAAATTATTACACTTGGTTCCTAACTTGTATTCAATTAAATATTATATTTTTGTAATTTAAAAAATTTTAATATATGTCATGAACATTTGATGGTTTTGGATTACCAAATAATTTCTCAAAGTAAGAGGTAATTGTTATTTATACTAATAAATAAATAAACAATAATCCTTCTATTTCATAATAACTATAAATGTGATTATTTTACACAAATTAAAAAAATTAATTAATAGATGAAATAATAATAATTTTACTAAATTAATCATATAATTAATCTTGTTTATTAAAAGTAATGCAATACAAAAAAATCAATTTTCATTTAATATTACTAAAGATATAAATAAAAGAGGTAATTAATACTATATTAAAAAGTTAATATGATATTTATTTTAAATTATTTTTAATGTGATGTTCTCTCTCACAATATTTACAATTATAGTATTTGAAAAATGTTTCAAACTAAATAATGTTCTCAATTTTCAATGTAATATTCATTTTTTATAATTTATCCCTCAATAAATTATGTATTATCATAATAAAAAGTAATGATTTATTGAAAAGTTAACTATTTTATTAAAATTGTATTAAAAGTGATAACCTTTGTATCTGCAAGAATTTTAAACTCAAGTCATTATGGACAGAGGGAGTACTAGGACTAAAGAAATATTACTTTTTATAATTAATTTTGGTCTTTATGTTTTTTAGAGTGTTATATCCTTAAATAATAATGTAATGTAACAATTTAAAAAATAATTCCATCATTTTTATATATTCTTTTTGTTCTCTATAATCGACACACTTTATGACTGAATCAATTCTATTTTCACTACATACTTCGTACACGCAAGTATCATAATCTACGGAACAAAAAAAAAATGTAAAAGAGACTTAAATCATTAAATGACGATAATCTGAAGGCAATTGGAACACATTAACACAAAATTTAGTTAGGATTAAGGATTAATTCAAGTTTAATTGTCTAAGGATTAAGGAGTAGGAACGTTGTTCAATTGATTATTTTGTTTTCCTTTCATCAACTGAATTTATTAAATTGTAAAAAATTTAAATTCATAAGAATTTTTTAACCTTAGAGTTTTAAAGTAATAAAATAATAATTTACATAAAAATTTACTTAGTAATGTCAATTAAATAATCATAAAATTCACAATATTACAATATAGTATCATATTAAAAAATATTTTGATTAAATATAATTTTATCCATTTTTTTTGAAAAAGTTGCATCTGAATGAAATAAAATATAATAACTAATATTAAATTTCATTATCATAGATAGATTCACCGAAAAATAAAATCATTAATTCAAGTGGTTTAGTATATGTACTCTTTAGTCAATGATGAAATTTGATCTTTGACTTGGAAATTAAGTCTTAATTAGAGGTACCATTTACTCCTATAGAAATTGATTAGGTGAAAAAGAAGTATACCTCTTTAATAGATAAAAAAAAAAATAGAATGACTATAAATAAAATAATTATAGGATTAAATACATGTCATTAAAATAAGGGTTAAATATAGTTTTCATCACATAAAATAAGCGAGTTATTTATTTATTTATTGGAATCGAGCCTAATACCAAGAAATTATAATAACTTACATGTTCAATTTATTCAATTCAACTAGATTTCACTCGATAATATAAGGTTGTTTCAAATTAATCAATAGGCTCAAATTCGAGTTTTGAGTATACAATTATATTTAATATTTGGAGGGAGAAATTTGTCACCACAATCTTATCTACTCGTGTAATGATGCGATAGGTTACTATAGTTTATAGCTCAACAACTAAGCAATAAAAAATTATTACATAAGTCAACTACACTAATGTTATCATGCAACAAATATATGTATAGTATAGAAAAAATTAATACAATTCCTCTCAATTTGACTTGAAAACATAAAGTCTCTTATGGGTTACAATAAAACCTTATACATATATACAAATATACATCTAGTAATAAATACTAGAAACATATGGACTCTAGTGCTAGTCAAGCATATACTATACACAAACCGCCTCAAAGTAGTACCAAACAAACACGTCGCCATCTCTAACATGGCAATCAAATTTAGTTCGCTCTTCAGCCTAATCATGTCCTACTCTCATAATAATATGATCATTGTGGTTCAAAAATAATGCAAGGGTAAACTCATAAATAAAAAAATATCATAATATAAAAACAATGCATTAATTATATTAACAACTTCAACAATTAAACTCAACAACAACTTAAGCTCAACTTAACAACACATATCAATATCATTATACAACTTGACAACATGGTAACTTTCAAGCTTACTACACAACTTATCAACACAAGTCATTAACAACACAACAACTAAGCAACACCACAATATAACAACACAACCATCATAACCTAGCAACAATATGTGTCGTCACACATTTCAACTAAGAGACTTCTTACAATATAGGTGAACAGTTTAAATGGTTTAACCCTATCGAACTAACTTAACAACGCAATCTTTTTGGATTTGCTAGGTAAAAAATAAAGTTGGATATTAATCCACAACACATGATTTCCTATATTTTTTCACTTAAACTAGAAAAGTTTGGTGCTTGTTGTCAAACATAACATAGCTTGATTATAAGCCCACCACGATATTGATATACACTAACACAACTCACCATATGCTTGGCGCTAGTGAAGCAGAGAGCCTTTGGCTCACTCACGTCCGACAACAATCCTTATGCTACTAAAAATGAGATAGAGACTTTATGTAAACCACGTCTGATGCTACTAATCATATGCCCAATGTTACCAAGGTAGAGAGTCTCTGCCTTACCCATGCATGATGCTACTATTCCCGTGCCCAGTGCCAATGAGTCAAAGAGCCATTGACTCGTATCACATCCAACATCATGAAGCTACACTTTGTGCGAAGGTGATTTCTACACCCAATAGGATCATGATTTGTCTCAAATCACCTAAAATCTCAATCCAATCCAACATGCAACTCACAAAACAACACATATACATTATAAGCAACTCAAATGCCATGAAATTTACAACATGAAACCAACAAGAGTTCACAATCATCAATTTCTTTCTCCTACTATCAAGAACGACAAAACCAAGCAACAAGGTTCTTTACCTTTCAATTCAACAATATAGACAAATATAGATGAATTCAAACAATAATTAACACATACAACACAATAATAGTCAATCTACAAGCTTTTCTTACCTTAAATCTCTAAAAATCAAGAAAAAGGGAGGAAGAATAGTGAAGACTGCAATCCTTCGATCTTAGCCGTATTACAACTTCAATCTATGATTCTTAACTTTGAAGCATTGAATCTCAACTCAACTCCTACTAATGATGATTCAAGAAGAATCAAAACAACTCCATAAAATTAGAAGGAATAACGGTTTTCCTTTGACTTCATAGTCTATCTCTCTAACTTTTCTCTAAGATTCTAAAAGAAATGAATTCATGAAGTTCAAATCTTAAAAAAATTTTATATACTTTCTTCTAAACTTGATCAACTTTAACATCGACTCAAAATAATCTCAAATAACATAAACTTATAAAAATTCCTTAATTCTTAAAATTTTAAAACATAAAACAATGTATCATATAAATCATCCGCTTAATAAAATTTAAATAAACAAAAAGCTACAACACAGTATTACAAAACTCAAGTAAATAATACATGTGGTATAGATAAAATAAAAACTAGATGGCACTAGTAAAATGAAAAACTAACTTTTAGCTTTAAAAAAATAATATTCCAGAATCAAACTATATTTTACATCATTGTAATTTATTTTTTTAACTTAATTTTTGTACTTTTTTGTTGTACAAAAATCCCTTATGTTTTGTTTTGTCACTAAATTTCTTAGTTCGTATTATTTCTTACTTTAATCATGTTTTCAGGGTATGATTATGTAAATTTCTCCGAATATATTTTCAGAAAAAAATAAAATAATTTTTTTTATAAACTAAAATATAAATTAATTTATAAAATTTCTCTCTTATTAATTTATTTAAAATATATTTTTAAATTTATGTATAAACAAATTTTAATTTATAAAAAGTTATTTCTATTTTTTTAAAAAAGTATTTTTAAGAAAAATTTACCCAAACATATTCTTAAACTCGTCAATCACACTTTTAATTATAGATAGATATAATAGAGTCTATGCACACCAAGGGTCAATCCAATTGTGAAAAAAAAAACCTCTCTATTAAAAAAATAATTATTGTTAATTTTTATAAAATAAAAGTCAAACACATAAATAAATTAAGGTTTAAAATGTAATTTCTATTTCTTATATATATAACTTCTCATTGAAAGTAAAAAGAATATCCCAAAATTATATATAAAATTTCAAAAACTATATTTTTATCCACTGATATATTTTTTAAGAATTTTGTTAATAGTTCGATTTTTATTTATCATAATTATTTATAAATTAAAATTTAATGTTTAAAATAAATTATTAATAAATAAAAATAATATTATGTTATAATATGAATTATTAATTATACGTTTAGATATAATGTATATATTTTAAAAAAGATTTTTATTAAAATTTAAAATATAATTTATGAATTAAAATATATATAATTTATATAAAAATTGAATTATATATAATAAATAAATATTTAACGTGTTTATTGGGCATAGTAAAATAGGGGTGATGTTTATGTAACGAGGAGCAGTAATGAATAAGGTATGAGCAGAGAATCACATTCGTTTCTTTTGAGCTTGAGCCTTGAGCCTTGAGGTATGCGATAGAGCCACAGAGGAGTTTCCTTTGCATATTTCCTCTTTTTTCCACATATGTCCCTCAGGTTGACTTTATCGTCAATAATCAATAATGCATCAATATTCTAGTCTTCCTTCGCTGTTACTTCCTCCCTCTTATGTAAGCAATGGTAGGTACGACTTCGGGATGCGGGCTGCTTCTGTACTGTATTGCCACTAACAAAGAAAAAAGTGTACCATTCTTACTTTTAATTATTTTATCATAAATTTAACTTTTATTTTAAATATATTATTTATTTTAAGTGGTTATTATATTTAATATTTATTATAAATAAAACATATCAAAAATAGATTTAATAATAAATAAAAAGTTTACAATAATTAATATTCAACATTATTTATAGTTAGAGAAAAAAATTATTATTTATAATTAAGACAGTTTAATTGTTTAAAATAAAAAGTAAATAAAAATAAGTTAAAAAATAAAATAAAATTTTAATTGTTTAATTAAATAAAAATAGATAATAAATTAATGAGAAATATACCGAAAATAAGATATATTTAAGAGAAAGAAGAGAAAAATAAATAAATAAATAAATAAAAGATTAAAGATCATTACTTTTTAATTTTTTATTCTTTTATTTTTCTTTAATTAAACAATTACTGTTCTACTTTCACTGTGCCCACCCTAATTCTTATTCATTAATTTCTTCTCGACGTAAATAATTGGTATGGCTTTCGTCCCTCTAGAAAAAGGTAAAAGCAGAGAGTTATTTAAGGACCAGCAGAGGCACTCCAAAATATCAGTTGAACATATATGAGATGGCATTCTCCATATTCAAACTTCTTCTTTAATCATTTCTTCTCTGCACCTTCTTGCATGACCCTGCCAATGCCCTTAGAAAGGCAAGTAAGCTTTGCATTTTAGTTCCTCCATTATAGGGATGGCATCGAGCCGGTCGGGTACGGGTTTCATAATACCCGTCTCCGTTCCTGCGAGTCATACTCATTCTTGTTCTCGTTCTCGTATTTGTACCCATTAGATATATGATTTTCATCCTCATTCTCGTTTTCGTTGAGTATCAAATATACTTGTATCCATACCCGTACCTGTCAATTTTATTTTATTTTTTTATAAAAAAATATGATATTTTTAAATTATTTTTTTATTATATTATAATTATAATTAAGTTATTTTTTTATCTCATATTATAATAAATAATTACATATAAAAAATATTAAAATTCTTTAATATAATTAAATTGAAAGTGGATATTAAATTAAAAATGAGAACGGAAACGGGTACGGGTACAGGTACGGGATGAGTAAGTACATACCTGTATCCGTACCCGTACCCGTACCCGATTTAAAGTATCGGGTTTTACCCGTACCCATACCTGTACCCGGTTAAACCAAGTATTCCTCGTTAAAGTCGAGACGGGTTCAAATATTACCCACAATTACTTATATATTTGCCATTCCCAACGCTTCATCATTTAAGCATCTGATATGGAGTAAATGTGTCAACATCTCTTCAAGTTCAAACTTTGAGAATTTCCAAATTTATATTTTGTCACAAGAACATAAAAAATATTAACAATTTACTCTCTTATACATTTATTTTTAAAACACACTCTTTTTAATTAGTTATAAATTATTAAAGAATACAAATTTGGGTGAGTTCTACACTTTATTTAATAATTTTATGCCTTAAATTTATAATTTTGAATAAATTCTATTGAATGTGTAGCACTCCTCTAAAAACATTGAACGAATTACTTGTTTTTGGAATCTGTGTTTTCAGACCTACATTGTGTACATGGGAGGACATTCCCATGGTCCAGACCCTTCGCCGAGTGATCTTGAAACAGCCACAAATTCTCATCATGATTTATTGGCTTCTGTCCTAGGAAGGTAAAGCAACTACGAAATTGTACGTGTCTTAAATATTACTACTATATTACACCGACAAGACAGTCATGAGGATTTTTATATTTTTTTTAAATAAAAAATACTAAATAAGATGATTCTTTTTAATAAATACTAATTTATAATTTTTAAATAAATTTTAATAAAAAATAAAAAGAAGGTTAGAAAAAGACTGTTAAAAAAATTATCCGAAACACTTATTGAGTTAGAGGTTAATGAAGAAATAGAAAAAGTAAGTACATCAATATCATAAAATCTCTAAGACATATCTATATGTAATTTACATTTGCATATTATTGGGACATGTTAATTGAAGTTGGATTTACAGTCACGAGATGGCGAAGGAAGCAATTATGTACTCCTACAATAAGCACATCAATGGTTTTGCTGCCATGCTTGAAGAGGAAGAAGCATCAGAGATTGCACGTAAGCAAAGATTCGTATCATGTCCATGCCTTTCTACGTACTCATCTTGAACCCACTTAAATTAATTCGTAACAACATGAATTATATGTTTGTGTTGGTACAGAAAACCCAAATGTAGTTTCTGTTTTTTTGAGCAAAGAGCACAAATTGTTCACTACGAGGTCATGGGATTTTCTTGGACTGGAAAAAAATGGAATAATTCCTGCAAACTCCGCTTGGAGGAAAGCAAGATTCGGAGCAAATACAATCATTGCCAATATCGATACGGGTATGCTTAATTATAGATTCAACATCTAGCAAATTATATTAACGATTGTAAAGTGAAATTTGCTAAACAAAAAATAAATCTCACATAATTTGATGATTCAACATATTAAAAAGTAGTGTATTTAAAAAGAATATCAAAATAGAAAGAAAAAAAAGTTATTTATAGTAGTGTAAATAATTTTATATGATATTTTTTTATTCAAATGAATTTTAACATTAATATTTAAATTTAAGATTTTTCAAATACTACATGATTAAGCTGACACGTTGCCGCTTCTTTTACTCGATCATTTAATTAATGGATTACTATAACTAGTTTAAAAATTCAATTAAAAATACTTAATTTAGAAGTAATAATTTAATGGAATTATTTTATGATATTTTATAAAGTTATTTCATATATAATTTTATAATGAAAAGATATTGTCATTTACGAATTAAGTTTTCATGATTTTGTTTTTGATAATTACCTAAAAGACCTCTCACTAATTAGAATTAGGCATGACAATCTAACTTGTCCCGATTTAAACAGGAAAAATTAATGTTTATTAGATTTGAATTTTTTTTTATTGATAAATCAAGGGCGGGGACGAGAATGTTAATACCAGCCCTGCCCCTGTCCCGCTTAATAATATAATTAAAAAATTATTTATATATATATATATAAATCAAAATTAAAAATATTTATATGTAAAAATTTGTATTATATTATTTTTCTTTTATTTTTTTTAAATTTGTTCATATTTATTTAAAAATAAATAAATAAATAAAAAGGTAAAGGAAGGGCGAAGGCGAGGGCGGAGAGGGAAACCCAAATCCTGCTAAGAACAGGGATGAAGATCCGGATTTTATCCTAACAAGTATCAAAAATAGGAACGAGGATGATTTAAATATGCGGAACAGAGACGAGGAACAGGAACGTGAAACTCGCTTATACTCCCACCTTGTTGTCATGCCTAATTAAAAAATATATATATGTTTTATAAATTATTATTTATTTATTTATTTTTATTTATGTGAAACTTATTTCTATGGGGACATAAATGAAAAAAGAATATTATAGTAATGTTAATATTTTAAGGGTAAAGTGGTCGAGTGTTATTATTGGAATTGTGCTAAAGAAAAGTGTTTGTTGTTGAAACACATTGAACAGGCGTTTGGCCGGAGCACCCGAGTTTCAGCGACAAAGGGTATGGGCCAATCCCATCAAAGTGGCGAGGGAAAGGCGTGTGTGAGATAGACGGTTATAATGGTACAAATACAAACAAATACTTGTGTAACAGGTAATTTCTTGAGCCTTAATCTATGAATGATGTAAGTTGATGTTGTGATGGTAAATACGATAAGGAATAATAGGAAGCTGATAGGAGCAAGAGTGTTCTACAAAAACTACGAGGTGCAAGTGGAGAAGGTGGAGAGAGGGCAACGGAGCGCACGTGACTACATAGGGCATGGTAGCCACACACTGTCAACTGCGGGGGGTAATTTTGTGCGTGGTGCGCACGTGGAAGGTAACGGAAGAGGCACCGCTAAGGGAGGCTCCCCGAGAGCTCGCGTCGTGGCCTACAAAGCATGCTGGCAAAAATTCGATGCAGGAGGTTGCCAAGATGCAGACTTGCTGCAAGCATTTGATCACGCCATTCACGACGGCGTTGACATCATCTCCGTCTCTCTGGGTTCTGCTCAGCCCTATCCCGAAGCTTTGTTCACCAACGGGGTTTCCATCGGCTCATTCCATGCCGTTGCCCGTAACATTCTCGTTGTATGCTCTGCCGGAAACCAAGGCCCTGCATCCATGAGTGTCACCAATGTCGCACCCTGGGCCTTCACCGTTGCTGCCAGCACCATGGATAGAGATTTTCTCTCCAACATTTCTTTTTCCAACAATCAATCCATTGCGGTATATATATCATCGTCTTTCTATTTCGCATCCCAATTCACAAAAACACATAATACATTAACTCGCACTCTCACAGGGTGCCAGTGTTAATCGAGGCTTGCTGCCATTCTCCCCATCCAACAAGTTCTATGCCACCATTAATTCTGTCACCGCTAAGCTACCTCATGCGTCCGATGATGATGCGTAAGCAACCCCTACCAGTGCCACAATTTTTATTTCTCGACCTTGATATGTATTTTTCTCAACGTTGATATATATATGTTGCTGCAGTCGCTTATGCAAACCGGGAACACTTGATCCTAAAAAAGTAAAGGGTAAACTACTGGTCTGCCTTCGAGGTGATAAATTAAGTTCAGCTAAGGAGACCGCAGAAGGGAAACGTGCGGGCGCCGTGTCAGTTTTGGTGGCAAATGATAAGGACAGTGGACATTTAATTCTGCCCCAGGATAATATCATACATTCTGTAAGTATCACGGGTACCAAAAGTAAGCATGGCGACACGAGTACAAGCAACCCTAATAGCAAGACTCATAGCATTGATTTAACCAAGTAAAGTTCCCAATATCATAAATATCCTATTCTATATACATTCTTGCTGAAAGTGAAGCATTATATATAAAAACATATCTTTGCAGGGAAATGTTCGCTTACGTGGGTGATGCGAAAACATATATAGGAGTAAAGCCAGCTCCAATCATTGCTGGATTCTCATCCAGGGGTCCCAGTGCCGTGCAACCATTGATACTAAAGGTCATGATCTGATTTTTCATTCTCACGATTAATTAAGCTCGCACTCATGTTTCTTAATTATTTGATTTCAGCCTGACATAACTGCTCCTGGTGTGAGCGTAATTGCTGCTTTTTCACAAGCCGCGGGTCCGTCTAATCTTGAATCAGATACACGTCGGGTTCTATTCAATTTGCAGCAGGGAACTTCCATGTCTTGCCCTCATGTCGCTGGCATTGCGGCTCTTGTCAAAACATATCATCCTGATTGGACTCCTGCAGCTATCAAATCTGCTATTATGACTACAGGTACCTACATACAGTTTCATATACTATTCTGCCACCATCACCATGCTTAATATTTGAAAAATTAATAACTCTATATGCTCTTCCAGCTACAATACTAGATAACACGAATCGACGCATTCGGAACGCATTTGATAAGGAGGCAACTCCATTCGAATACGGCGCCGGACACGTTCGGCCTGACCTTGCTATGCACCCTGGACTCGTTTATGATTTAAACACAAAGGATTACTTGAACTTCTTATGTGCTTCAAATTACGACCAAGATTTACTCAAGTATTTTTCAAGTTCGAATGTCCCCTACACTTGTCCAAAGTCTTACAGAATTCAAGATTTCAACTATCCTTCAATTACCGTGCATCATCCTGGGTCAAGGCCTGTAGTTGTTACTCGTACTGTTACCAACGTTGGGCCTCCAAGCACATATGTTGTGAATACTCACTGGCCAAAGGGGATCAAGGTTTTTGTTCAACCAAGTTCGCTGACTTTTAAGAAAACTGGAGAAAAGAAAAAGTTTCAGGTTATTCTAAAGCCAATGGGTGTGGCCGCTGGGCATCCTTTATTTGGGAATTTGTCTTGGACAGATGGCAATCACACAGTAACCAGTCCTATCGTCGTGCTGGACCAGGAAACTTAGAAGTTACTCTGTCTCATTATATTATATGTTATCTTTGTCATATGAGTGTGTTTGCGTTTGCTGTAATATTAGTGTGATTTCTGCTCCTGTTGCATTCAACTTTATATTGTCATAAAATAAGGTATGTTTAGAGTGTTGAGGTATTCAACTTTGTTCCATTGAGCTATGTTTGTAAAAGCCACAATCACGTATGGAACCTGTATCTTTCATGGTCCAAGACATGGTTGAAATACATCTCTAAATAGTAGTATTCAATAATTATGGGCTCTAGTCAATCGTTTTTTCTTCTTTATTATACTTTATCTTTTCTTTAAGTATTAAAGCGAAATTCACATACATCAATAATTTTTACTTTTTCAATTTAAATATTTTTATAAACATTGTTCTTTTCAATCTAGCATTTTTTTTTTTCAATTCTTAAATGGATTTCACAATTTTTTTTTAAATATTCTTACATATCATAAATAATTTATTTATTAACTTAATTTTTATTAAGTTATAAATTAAGGGATATTTTATTCTATAATTTTGTGAAATATTTTTTTATGATACAAAAAATTAAATATTTAACAAAATTAAATTTCGTTTAAAAATGACAAAGTCAACTAAAATTAGGCAATTATGACAATATAAAAATTTCAAGTTAAAAATAATACATAATTAAAATAATAATTAATTTTGTGAACTATTACATTCAAAATGTTTTTAGATATGTTCTACAAGTTCGGCTTGAAGTTAATGATAACGTTATCTATCATGTAGAAGTATTATCCTTTGTAGATATGGTGCAAGGTTTGAATGAAGATCATTGTATATGCCAATATTGAGACATCATTGTTGGAATGTTTGTAAGAATAATCAAAATTATTATCATATGTGTGTCATTCATCTTCCTCGATCATGTTTTGTAATATGAATGTAAATGTATGCATTTAATATATGGTTGATTATATCCATGTGTCAGGCATGCATAGGGTCACATATAATTGCAAATCAAGATTGAAGCACTCCAAGTGCACGCTCCACACCTTTTCTTGTTGTTTCTTGATATTTAACAAATAATTTTTTTTTATCTCCTTATGGTATTGGATAATCTTAATCAGCATAGCCCATTTTAGATAATACTATTTTTTAAACGGTACTCCATGTGAAACTGGATCTTGTTTACCATATATTGCACCCTTAGGGTTTGTCCTTCCAAAAACTCATCAAACACAAGATATTCATTGAACACATTAATGACATTAATATTTGAACCCGTAACTCCAAAAATGCATGTCATATCCATATGTTTTGTGATGCCATTACTTCAAGTATGATTGAAGGTTTTCCATGATCACCGCGACAATATTGACATTTCCATGCCATTGAAGAAATTTTCCATTCTCCATGCATACAATCTATACTACCAAACATATATACTTGGAAAACCACATCTCTATCTCATTTGAAGTAGACGTTGAATGTCATTATTGTTAGGTCTTCTTAAGTATTCTACTCAAGTATTTCATTACAGTGTTTTCCCAATTCGCATATCATCATCAACACTATTAGTAGGTGATGATCCATATGCTAATATACGAATAATACTAGTGCATTTTGCAATGGAGAAACACCTGTTCTTCTAGTTGCATTAACTCTCATTTGAAAGTACTCATCGTGATTGTCCAAGGCTTGAACAATTTGAAGGAACATAACCCTCCTCATTCGAAATCGTTAACCCTTCACATTTAAAAATACTTATCATGATTGTCCAACGCTAGGCATGATCAAGACAGAAACTCTCTGCTTAAACAACATTAGGCATAAGTTTAGTGATGTCAGGCGAAAGTCAGGTAGAGACTCTTTACCTGAATAATGTCGAGCATATGTTTATCTACAGCATGCATGATTGACTCAGAGACTCTTTGTCTCATCCACGTTGGGTGCAAGTGGATTGGCATCAAGTGTTGGCGACCCCGAGACTCCTTGCCTCAATAATGTTGAGCATGGGAAAGATGACGTTAGACATGGTTTGTTGAAATAAAATTTGATGTTTTAAGTTGTCTAAGTATTTAAGTATGATGATTCATTTGTATAAATGATGTTATAAGACTATAATTTATTATATATTGATCTAGGATGATGTATGACGTTAATTTTTTGGTAGTTGTTTTCTATTTCCACTACTATTAGTTGGACCATTATATGTAGAGATCAAGACGGATCATTACAAAAAAGAGAAGAAAAAAGAGGGAGGAAAAGTAACCATGAGACTCATAAAAAAAAATCTCATGGATGAAGATAATTTGAAGAAAAAGGCGTAAAACATGGAGAACATAATAAAATATCATATTCACCTTTTTAGTTTTAATTTTATAAATAAGTTATTAGAGATAAACATATCTTTTAAATACATAATACATATATACTTTTTTCTCTCTAATTTCTTTAATATTTCTCTTAAATTAAAAAGCTTAGTCATTGATTCATTTTCTTTTCTTTTATATTTCTTTCAGCTCTACTTATTTCTTTCGCCGAAGGACATATTAAAAATGTGAGTCTTTGGTCTCCAACGCTCTACTAGGATAGAAATCAAATAATTATCAACAGGAAAGTAATTGATCTAAGTCATCCCAATAATAGTCATACAACAAAAAATCTATTATTATAGTTAACTTTTTAATTAAACCCTAAATTGAGAAAGACACAATAAATAATTAATTAAACACAAATACATATTACACACAATTTCATATCAAATGACCAAATTAATTAATTTATACTAATTTCTTTAAAAAAAAAATTTATTCTAATTATAAACAAAGTTATTAATACTACTCAAATACAAACAACAAAGTTATTCATACCACAACCTTTTGTCTAATTCTATTATTTACATAAATAAAATTTACAAATAAATAACTAAACAAACTTATACAATATTTAAAATAAATTGCATACCACAAAACTTATACAATAAATTAAATTTTTAAAGTAATCAAACAAACATATAAATAATTTCAATAAGATAAACCACTATTCATACTATTCTTATCACAATTTAAAAAATATAAATAAAAATTATCATTATACATTTTCATCTCATTATTCACTTAACTCAAGTAATTTCATTAGTCAAATATAATTTTATAGTTACTATTCTTAAAAATTTAAGAACTTATAACAAAAGTGATATGTAACCAAATTATATTATTCCTAATATTTAATAACTATTCTAATGTATATATATTTTAATTAATTTTAAAATTGAAGCATACATTAAGAAATATTCATATATTATATTTTATAGTTAAACGTTGGTGAAATGATATAAATTTTATACTTCAAAATATTTTTTCTTTTTTAACAAAATTTTGAATATATATATTTGGTTATTAGGATATAATTTTTATTTAACTTATTTGTTATAATATATATTTATTAAATTTCCTCAAAATTAACTATTTATAAAAACTATTAGTTTTATAAAATATTTTTTATAAACTCTCAAAACATTTATAAATTGTTAAGATATATTTTATACATACTGTTAAATTATTTATTAAAATTCTTTACAAACTAATGGATGTAATTAAATTTTTAAAACAAACCATAAATTAATAAGGCTTAAATATGTTTTTAGTCCCTTAAATTTAGGACAAATTTGTTTTTCGTCCATCAAATTTAAAATTGATGTTTTTAAACCCTATAATTTCAAAAAAAATCTTATTTTAGTCCTTATATTCAAATTTTGTTAAGAAATTTATCAAAGATTATTGCATAAAATCTATCTATTGGTATCTTTGTTAGTAAAAATAACACATTAAATCCAATTAATATTGTATAACCATCTTAATTTGTTACTTACGAATATGTCATTGGTGATTTGAGGGACTAAAATAAAATTTTTAAAAATTACAATGACTAAAAATATATTTAAACTAATTAATAATTATTGCTAAGGTATTTTAATATATTTGAAGAAATTAATATTTTTTTAACTAAAATTTAATAAATTATAAATTATAAAAATGATAGTTATTTCATTTTTATAATTAAATTTCAGCTATTTATTATTAACTATGTAATAAAACACATTCAATGAAAATTGAACTTTAAACAGTTAATTTTTAAAACAGTTAAATTTAATATTTAACAATTATTCTATCCATTAAATTCTAACAGTTAAATTTTTACGAACAATTTCATTCTTATAAAAACAGATACAATTTTATTCAAAAAATTAGATTACCCATCACTCAAATAATATACATTATATTTATCAAAATTATTATTATATTATTTAATGAATCCAAATAATTCAATAGTTCAAACATTTTTATTAAAAATATTGTATTAATTTTAAAATAATTAGAACATAGCACAATATTTAAAGCAAGAACACTTAAAAAAAATTTAGGGACATATAAACATAAAATAATTACATTAATAAGGCAGCCTTTTTTTTATTTATAAAATTTATCTATTTTTTATTTCATAGCTTACTACAAATTTAATAAAATTATATTAACTAATTTATTTAAACCAAATAAAATCTACATATATTTTAAACAATTTTAATAATTATTTTTAAATTAACAAATAATTATTTAATATTTATATGTGGGTCAATTATTCTAATTTTAATTATTATACAAAATTTATATTTTTATCAAATTTAAAACACATACATTATATTTCTTAAATTTATAATATACAATGAATTAAAAAAATAAAAGTTATATACTTACTTATAACTAATTTGCAACAAGATGCAAAATTATATTTAATGAACTAACCTGCAGAATAAAACAAAAAAATAATAAATAAAAATAATAATAAAAAAATAATTACAAATAAAAAATTAAACTTACACATGATTAGGAAAAAAGAAGGTTGGAAATGAGAGAGGAGGATAAAAATGAAGTTATAGAGAATTTAGGGGAAGAAGGGCGCGGAGGAGGGGAGTCTGCATGTATCTAACAGACAGGCAAAGCACAGGGGGCCTTCTGCGGTTAAAGATGGATGTGGCCGTGACAACTACAACAGTGTGCAGTGTGCAGTGTGCAGTGTGCAGTGTGCACAGAACAAATGAAATAGGAGCAGAGCAGTAATGAATAAGGTTTCAGCAGAGAATTACTTGAGGTGCTCGGTGCTCGGTGCTTAGTGGCTAGTGCTCACTAATACATGGCTAGTATTTGGTTTTCATTTTGTAAAATAATTTCTTTTTTCTTTTTTCACGTTCAAGGTTCAACAGTAATTTTTCGTGAAAATTATTATTTTACATGTAATTAAACGTGAAAAATCCGGTTTCGACTATGATTGAAACACGCACTACGTGTATCATGATTCATGTATGGCATCCCCACGCTTTTTAAAAAGTGGCTAAAGCGAGAGATAATATATTTATATGGATAGAGGAGTTTCTTTTCCAAATTTCATCTTTTTCAATAATGCATCTAGATTCTGGATTTCCAGTTCTAAGCTCCTTCTCTGTTACTTTCTCTTCCTTAAGCAACGGTAGGTACGACTTCGGGGTGGGGATGGGATTGGTTCTGCACTGTAAAAGAAAAAGTGTAGCAATCTTACTTTTAATTAACTTTATCCTAAATTTAACTTTTATTTTAAATAATTATTATATTTAATATTTATTATAAATAAATGTATAAAAAATACAATTGACAATAAATAAAAAATAATATTAAACATTGCTTATAATTTGAGAAAAATTATTATTTATAATTCAGACAATTCAAAGTAAAAAATAGAGTAAAGAAAAATAAAAATAAAATAAAATTTTAATTATTTAATTGAATAAAAATAAATATTAAATAAATGAGAAATATACGAGAAGTAAGGTATATTTAAAAGAGGAAAGAAAAAAACAAATAAATAAAAATTCATTACCTTTTAATTTTTTATTCTTTTATTTCTTTTTAATTAAATAATTAATCTTATTTTAGTTATTTTATTTTTTACTCTCTCCTACTTATTTCTCATTTTTTTGTTTTCTACCAAAAAAAGACATATATATATATACACTTTTTTCTCTAATTTCTTGAATTTTTCTCTTACATTAAAAAGTATAATCATTGATTTATTTTCTTTTCTTTTTATATTTCTTTCTGCTCCACTTATTTCTTTTCAAAATTATTTATCATTCACATAAAATATTAATCAACTCTTTCACCCTGCCTACAATCATTGATTAAATGTCAATATTTTTATTAGTTTAGATTTTTCAACACTTGTAATCGTTTAAATTTCTCACAAAATCCTTATATATTGTTCTCAATCGATTATGCATTTTATTAATTGATTGAAGTATTTCTTGGGAAATATTTATAGTGAAAATAAATTAGTAATATAAATTATATATTATAATTTTTTTTATGTCTCCTATCCAAACTAAATAATTTAATAATATTAATTTTCTTTATTACATGTGTTATGTTATTTATTTAAAGTATTTTATTAAAATATATTATTATTATTATTATAATATTATTATCCTCTCTTTATTTTTTATTTCTTCTTTTCTGAGTATTCCTCTCTCAATGTTATTCTTTTTTTTATTTGAACACAAATGATTTAATTGATGGATTTATATACTGCATCGTATATACTGTGAGTGATTATTGGTTTCAAAAATTTAATCACCATCCAAGCTGAACATGTTATGTCTCATACATATACTGAAAAACAAAATTTGAAAAATTATGCTGCATATATGCTTTTTCCTCTGTGACTATTCTTCTCTCCATGACTTTTTTTTCCCTTTCAATGTTAAAGATCCCATTGCCTCATTTATTTACTGCCAAACATATACCGTACAAGTGATTTTTAAATTACCTAACCTTTTATTTGCTTGCCAAACAATAGTTTTCTAAATGTTTATGATTTTGATTCATATTGAAAAGCCAGAGCATTGTTGTATAAATTTTTATGGTTGTTTGGAAGGTTTTAATTGTTAATTTAAAAGGAAAAAATAAAACTTAATAGGTGGACATTTATCTTTTACTAGTACACTGCATACCTTCCCGGTAGTATTGTCCTTTTATATTTGGCTCTTAAGCAAGAGTCATTTAAGAAAATAAATAAATAATTTTATTTATTGACAAGTTGAACTTCTTAAATTTTATTTCAATGCTAAACATTATAAATTGTTTATAATAGATATTTGACATTTTTTTTAGTTTCTTCAGATTTTGAGTATTCAGAGACAAGCAATGTTATGGATGATAATATTGGCAAAAAGAGAAATAACTCAAAATCATCCAATGAAGATGTTCAATATTGTAATCATAGTAAATGTGTCAGAGTGTGTCATTCAAATGTCCCTAATGGTGAGTGCTAATATGTCTTAATGTTACATATTAACTAACAAATAATTTTATGTCAAAGTATTTTAATTATATAAAAGCACTTTAAAATGTAATTAATATATGAGTGTGTATTTTACAATTGCAGGAAACAATATTCCAAGTGATCATTCCCGTGGGCATTATCTAAATGATTTTATTGGAGGGAGTGCATCTAATCAAGTAGAATTATGTAGTATTCCATTGTCGGATATTACTAATGGTAAAATTAAATTTTGTAAAAGATGTTTCACTCTATTTATATGTTTGAAAATTAATGATTATTCATATTTTGTTATCATTATTACTAGGCGCCGACAGTCAAAATGTTTCCCCCTCTTTTGCTGGAAATAAACTATTATTTGGTAAAGTTGCACCTATGCAACGTCGATGTAATATGTCTCAATCTTCTGCTGTAACAATTGTCAGGTTAACACGTTACTACTAAACAACATTTTTTGATCTATTATTTATTTCTCAAAAATATTTATGGAGAAACTTATTTACAAGGTATTTTTTTTTTCAGTCAATGTTAGCACACATAATGTACATCAATCTAACACTGTCTTAAATAAAGTTGTTAGAAGAGGTGTATGTATGTCAGAACAATTTACTCAATCTCCATCGTCGAATGTCACAAATGATAATTTATGGAGTCTTATTTCTTTTGATATAACTATATTATTTAATTTTATTATGTTTATATTTATCATTTCTTATTTGATTATCCTTTTATTTTGTTGTTTATAGTTAAGATATTATCTCCAAAGTGCAAATTTCACATCAAATCAAAACAATGAATTTGATGACACGTTTGAAGAATGTGAATCAAATCATAGTAACCATGCATAAGAAAAAGGACCACAAAAATTAATATGGAACAATGGTAGATTAACCAGAACTTCAGAGCAAAATGTACTTATTGATGGTATACATGAAGATGTATCCACTACCGATTGTATGTCTTCAATATTGTATTTTATTTTAAGTTTCATATTTTAACCATTAATCTAACATGAAAGCTTATTATTTTCTTATAATAATAAACAGTTTATTGCGATATTGGTGATTCTACTTATGAGTGTCAATAATGTGGAGCAATGATGTGGTATTCTGAGAGAGTGCAAAAATATATTATTATTATTATTATAATATTATTATCCTCTCTTTATTTTTTATTTCTTCTTTTCTGAGTATTCTTCTCTCAATGTTATTCTTTTTTTTATTTGAACACAAATGATTTAATTGATGAAGTGTTATAAATTCTAGGTTGTTGGTTAAACAATTGCTATTTACAAGTTGTGTAAGAACAATACAACCAACATCGTCATCTCTAGCATGGCTCCCAAAATGTCCAGTTTATCCTTTAGCCTAATCCTGCACTACTACCATAATAAAATGATCATCGCAATCCAACAATAAAGAAAATGTAAGGATAAGCTTAAAATTAAGAAATAACATAATGTAGAAGCAATAAGCTAATTACATAAAACAACTCCATCAACAAAACATAACAACAACCTAAGTTTAACTTTAACAAAATAAATTAACATTCATCACAACAACAAATTTGGATACCAATCCACAACACATCATGATTTCTCAAATGTTGTCACTTAGACTATGAAAGTCCATTATCCTTGTCAAGAATAAAATAACTTGGATATGAGTCTACCAAGACCTTAGCATGCATAACTAAGTCTACATGAAATTAGTTCATTAACTATCCTCTAAATATTACAACCCTTTCTGATAATTAGTTAGGGATTTTGGCCCTTGACCTTGTGCCTCACTCAATTGGACACTTCTAAACCAATATATCTTGACCTACCCCCATATGGTATCACCTAAAGACTTAATGAAGACTCAATACTTTACTTCAAGAGACAACTAAACTCAAGAAGGATTTTTCAACAATTGAACTCTTAGAACACCATAACTCATCCTCACAATGAGATATTCATTGTTCAAAACAACACATCTCATCTAGTCCTAAGTCAACAACATAACAAAACTACATTAAATAACATGCAATTTATCATCATACAACTTCACTTATACAACTTCAATTAATAATCAACTTTCATTTTAACAACCTAAACCATCACCATATATTAACATTTAAATCAACTAAGTTATAATTTTCACTCAATATAACCACGTTTAACGCCATTTAATCTACGTCTAGTGTTGGTGAAGCAGAGAATCTTAGGCTCATCCACACCTGACACCATTTCACTTGTGTTTAGTGTAAACAAGAGAAGAAATTTCAATCACTAGTGAAAAATTAGTATATTACGTCATCTCTTTAACGTCGGATACACTAAAATTTGACTTAAAAAAGACGCGGTGACATTTTTGTTTTATGGATAGAGGAGTTTCTTTTCCAAATTTCCTCTTTTTCAATAATACATCTAGATTCTGGACTTCCAGTTCTATGCTCCTTCTCTGTTACTTTCTCTTCCGTAAGCAATGGTAGGTACGACTTCGGGGTGGGGATGGGATTGGTTCTCTACTGTAAAGAAAAAGTGTAGCACTTACTTTTAATTAACTTTATCCTAAATTTAACTTTTATTTTAAATAATTATTATATTTAATATTTATTATAAATAAATGCATAAAAAATAAAATTGACAATAAATAAAAAATAATATTAAACATTGCTTATAATTAGAGAAAAATTATTATTTATAATTCGTACAATTCAAAGTAAAAAATAGAGTAAAGAAAAATAAAAATAAAAATAAAATAAAATAAAAATTTAATTATTTAATTGAATAAAAATAAATATTAAATAAATGAGA